AACTGAAGCCCGGCACGAGAGGACCTGGTCTTGGCCTTCGCTCTGACCTTTCCGGCTCCCTTACCACGTCCAGACATTTTGTAGATAGTGTAAGACTGCTTCGGCTTACACTAGTGAAGAAGAATATTTCATCGCTGTAGAAGCTCAGACTATAAAGGAACGTCTGCTCGCTCATTGGTGCGGTACATTAGTACGATCATCCAATCAGAGACGACTACGTCACCCAGCAAAGCACAACACTCCCGCCCGAAGAGGGAATTACAAAATAAGACATCTCGGGTAAAAATACACACATTACCAAAATAACATACAACTATAAAATGTATAAAGAATAACATTTAGTATCATTTACATGATGAAATAAAAATAAAGTAATGGAACCATAATAATCAGCACATCATAATATTTTCAGGATATTTTAACAAATTTGAATAAAGACTTAATAAAGTATTAATTATGTGCTTCTATATTACATAATGTAAATAAAGTGAAGTTATATTTAACATCAGCTGATAAAGAGACCCTGCTGACGTCACTATGATTACTAAACATATATCATTAGATTATTATTATTAAGTTATTAATGTAAAAACTTTTTTTTTTACAGTTGTAGCACATTTGAAACATTTAATTCCCGATATATTTTTGGGTTTTTAAAAAAATAGTGAGAAACGTCATCACGCAAGTTCTCAAAAATGATAATTGTTAAAGTGAGTAAAGCTGTGAAACAAACGCAGTAAAGTCAGTCTGTGTAGTTAAATATGTAAAGTTGACTGCGGAGAAAATACTCAAATAAAGTACCTCAAACGTGTACTTAAGTACATCACTTTATGTGTACTTAGTTCAATTTAATAGTAAAATAATTTGGTGACTCTACACTTGTACGGTTTTATTTATTTGTGCTTTTTAAACTATCTTTAGTTTGATTTCAGGCTTCTAATCTATATTTAAATTAAGCTTATTGTCAGTTTGCTTCTCACTATACATAACTTACTTTATTGATATTTGCATTCAAAGTATTCTTATATTCTGCATCTCATGGTGTCTTAAAATGATTGTTTGAACTCATTAACAGTAATTATTTATATGATAATAAATAAACATATTTAATAACAATAATATTTAGGACTTGTGCTCTTTTGGTGTATTTGGGTGGCTCTTAAAAGAGCCTTTTGTGGTTGCTATGAAACAAACTTTTAAAAGTTTACTTCTTCGCTGGTTTCTTGGCTGCTGCCCTCTTCGCTGGTCTTTTAGCCACTGCTGCCTTCTTCGCTGGTTTGGCTTTGACGGCCTTCCTTGCGGTTTTCTTGGGTGAAGCCGCCTTCTTGACCATCGCCTTCTTCGGGCTCTTTGTGATCTTCTTCACGGATGTTTTCTTGGCCACAGCGGGTTTCTTCGCCTTCTTGGGAGTCGGCTTGGCTGCTTTTGGCTTCTTGGCGACCACGGCGGACTTCTTGGCGGCGGCGGGCTTCTTCGCTGCGACAGGCTTCTTGGGTTTGACGGCGGACTTCTTCGCCGCTGCCGCCGACTTCTTGGGCTTCTCAGCGGGCTTGGCTGCCTTGAAGGAGCCGGTGGCACCGCTTCCCTTGAGCTGGACGAGGGATCCTCCCGCCAACAGCTTCCTGACGGCGCGTTTGATGTGGGCGCTGTTCTGCTTCACGTCGTAGCCCTGAGCGGCCATGTACTTCTTCACGGCCACGTAGGAGATACCATTACGGCCCTTGGAGGCGGTCACCGCTTTCAGGATGAGCTCGCCGGCGCCGGGACCGGACTTCTTGCTCGGCTTGGAGGAGGCCTTCTTCTTCGGGGCTTTCACCGGGGTAGCCGGTGCAGGTGCTGGAGCGAGTTCTGCCATTGTACTGTCTATAAATCTTCTCTGCTAGTCTGTTATGGCTGATAGAAAACTCCGAGCCATGAGAGGAACTTAAACACACCATGAGAACCGTAGAGACTCAACCCAGCCTGCCTCTCACCAGTGCAGCAGGAAAACTGTGTCACTTGTGTTTTCTCTTCGCCATTAAATGTATAAAAAACATATCTGGAGGAAGAACTAAAGTATACAATGTAATCGAACTAATAGCGAAGGAGTTTACCTTCATATGTAAGCCAACTAAACTTCAATACTTTTCTTTATTTTGATTTTAAAGTGTTTAAACGTCTCCCATCGTCTGCTGTGTGAAACGCTGCTGAGGGTCTTTTCCTTGTGATTTCTCTCCTAAATGCTTTCAAATGCATTAAAAGCCCAATAAAACGAGTTTGACAGTGAGAAGAGATGTTTGTTCAGAGATCCAATGTAAAAACACTTTACTCTTGTTCATATTTTTTTATTAAACGGAGGTTAATCTGGTGTCTGCAAACACACTCCTGTTGGAATAGGCCACTGGCTGAGTTCTCCACTTCCTGACACAGTGTGCCCTTTATTTATTAGAGTGCTATCTCTAATTAATGACAATCAATCATAGTTACATATTTATAACAATCTGAAATGTGTGATATAGATAGATAGAGAACGGTGTAAAAACACAAATGGTCTTAGTTACACAGCCACTAACTTCCTCAGGTGATAGATGAGCTCCCATAGGGTTCAGAATTATTGATTCTAATATATCATTTATTTATAATATAATTTAATGGATCCCATAAAGACTCTAGCACATCATTATTTTATTCTAGGCTGATATGATAAATTATTTTACAGCATAATATGAAAGTATTAAAGTAGGTTCTCTGACTTCATTTGGTGTCATGAAAGATGTAAACATGAAATAAACAGCTCCTCACTCCCAATCTATATCAAAATAATGTTAGAATAATCATTATTAATCATCAGTTATTGGCTTAATACAATCTCACGAACCGCATAGAATATGACACAATACAGACAGTAGCTGGTAGCGCTTTATATTGTTTTAATTGATTCTCAATGTAACTGGGTGTCTCCCCCTTGTAAATATAATTTGTGTAAAAGTGTTACTTTATTATTTTGTATTCATTTTTTATTCTAATTTAAATGTTTTTAATCATGCGATCCTGTATTGCAAAAGTCACATTATTGTAAAACCAATGTGCTGCAGTGCATTAAATCTGTGATGTTCCGAGGGATCGAAAAGGACGTTTTGTTGCTGGATTGTTTATTACAAATAATATATCAACGTATTTTGTTTAATTATTATTATTTATTTCTATTTAAATGTACAAAATCCGAGATTGGGGGCATTTTGATCGCCCTTTCAGCGGCTCTTAACATGCCAACGGTGAGCTGGTGACTATGAGCTGACTGTGCTAACAGTGCTGTCAGAGCTAACAGTGTTAACCAGAGGGTGGAAACCAAAGGGGGGTACTACGGCTCTAAATGGACCATAATGTACGAAATGAACATCATGCTGTATTGAAGAAGACTTGAAACTAGAGATTGAGACCATAAACTCATGTTTACAATGTTTACTGAGGT